AAAAATTATTTTATAAATTATTTACTATGAAGAGAGAAAATATAATTATAAATTTTTCTGCGGCGATGGACAGTGCCTGCTCTATCCCGCTGGCCGCTCTGTTGGATTGGGGTCCACACTCCCCCAACCTCGATACCTCAATTTTGAAACTTACTCCCATACCCCAACCCATTTCCCCTGATCTACCTCCCTATATAAAACCCAACAGATCCTCTTTATCCAAGCAAAATCTCTTTGAATTTAAACCCTGTGATCGATCCAAAGAGGATCTTATTATTATGGCTAAAATGGGTATGATTTGCTTTCTCTTGGCTCAGATCTTGCTGATTCAAGCGATGGGTGGTAGGTCCGACGCCAACCCACCTGGTATCGCAGTGGAAAGCAGTGGTGAGGACAATGTGGTGGTTGCTGCAGCTCCGGTAGAGAGGTCTAAGGAGACGGCAGTGGCTGAGGCGCCGGAGATGACTCAGATCAGACGGCTAGGGAAGCATCATTCGACGGATAAGTCTGTTGCTGGCGGCGGCATTATCATTGCTGGGCTTGTCACGGCTATTTTCGCAGCCGTTGTGTGCTACATCCGGGTTACCAGAAAACGGGGCGGTGTTTACTGAGGTCGTCTTCTGGATTTCTTGAGAGAGTTTATTTTTATTCAATGAAATTCTTATTCTTAGTAGGAGTAAAGCAGTGATTTTGATACATAAACCTATTATTTTAGAAGAGCGATTCGCTCCTCTATTTGATTGTATTATGTGAAATTGTGAATACTAGATTAAAATTATTGATTTTGCCTATAATTATGACAGTTTACAATTTTTCTAGCCCTATGTTGTTTCATCATATTTCTCGGTTTGTTTTCTTTTTCTTTCTTTTGGTTAAGGACAAGTTCAGTATTTTTTTTTTTTTGGCCGAAAGACCAAGTTTCATAATGTTTCATTATAAAAAATTTGAAGCTCGGCTAAATAATTAAATATATTACTCCAAACTACTTTCCTTATCACATTTTTTTTTCTATAAATCAGAAAAAATTATAAAGATCAATAAAAAGACATTTATTACTAATTTAAATTTTATAATTATCTTATTAATAAGGGTAGTTGGGAAGTAGGAATATTTTCTTTTTAAGAATGGTGTAATAATTTTATTATTATTTTGATTTTTAATTACATAATGAAAAGTAATTTTTATTTTTTTTTTATTTTTTAACTCACTATACTTACATATCATATCACTTGAATGTAAAATTTTTTGTTTTTATGAAAATAATATTACTACTAAACTAATTAAATTATCAGTAATGGAGTAATTATTAACAAGGGCAAAATAAAAAAAGAAGACTTTAACATTATATTAACAATTAAAATTGACAAGTAAATTAGACCACCTCATTTTAAAAGGTGTGGTGAGAAAATAAACTCGAGGTAGCTTTTAATTCTCAAGGTGTTTTCTTTATTTAAAGAATTAGTTAGGCTCTCTTAATTTAACTGTTAAATTAGTTGATAAATGTAGGTGTTGTTACTTAAAAATTGATAAAACAACTTATATCTAACATTTGATAGTTCAAAATTAGTTTAAAGGTTAATGTTTCTAAATACCTAAACCAGTTATTTTGAAAAAAATTATAAAATAAGGAAAAACTATCCAAACCTGCACCAGAAAATAAAACTGTTTTATTTTGACCACAGAAAATGTAACATGCACCGATTTCACTGATTGCCCTAGTTTAAGCTCTTGGAATGACACACATGATGGGATTTGATCCATTTGAATCCGGCGAAAACAAAATTTTTGTTAGCGCGGCGTTATCTATTGAATCAGAAACTTAATTACAGGCCTAACTGCAGCATGATTCTGGTCTGCAAGTTAAGTTTATGGTGTATTCACATGCTCTCAACCACATTTGACATATAGACTTGATACCATATTATACTCTGTAATTTTATTTTTTTTTTAATTTTAGTAGTCAATACTATCCTTAAATTAACATTTACACATTTTAAGATTCATTCCTTTCTTATTCAATCAAGAGTAAGTTATCCTTATTGAGATTAAAAAATTCATGAAAAACTATTTTTTCTTTGATATTTCAAAAAAATATTATAATCTGTAATACATACATGTCAATATGCTGTCTTAATTAGGGTTATGTTATTAACTTCCACTGATGATTTTCCTAACGGCCAGAATTAATATATTGACGGCTACATCGTCCAGACAGGTTGGCACCTCCAGCAGGACTCATAAATAGCTAGCTTGACTTGATGAAGACTAATCTTATGGGCAGAGTCTTTGCTTGATCAAATTGGATTCTAAGGATATGTGATAAGTGGTGAAACTCAAAAGAAAGGTTCAACAAAGTATTTGCAACACTACTTTTTTGAAAAGAGTATTTTTGTTTTCTTAAAGTTGATTTCAGATTGAGGTATTTATTTTATTTTATTATCTAACATTTGATATACAAAAATGATTTAACAATAATTTTTTATATTATTTTATAGTATAATTTTACGTGTTATTTAAATAATTAGTTCTTTTTATTCATTTAAAATTCGTAATATTAAGTGTAATCATTTATTTAATGACATAGAAAAATTGTATAAAAAGATAATACAAAAAATTATCTCTATATCATTGTCCTTTAATATAAATTGTATAATAAGAAATAATTTCTCATTTTACAGTTTTTTTTATTTGTTTCAATATTTGAATTTAAGATTTACAACTCAAAATTTTTAATTTTTATGTCTTGGGAAAAATCATTTGTTCTAATGCAGTAAATTTAGGTTTCATTTAATAATGCTTTTTCAATGTTTTAACTTTTAGTTTTTATATATTTTTATTATTTTAAAAATATATAAAACGTTAATTAAAATATATATTAAATATATTTTATATATTTTTAAGATATTAAAAGATAAAAAAATTTACAACACAACAACAATTCAACAAACTAAACTTTAGTTCTGCTTTATTATGTCTGTATGGTTGAATCATTGCAATTTTTATATAATTTTTTATTATTAATGAATCTCTTAAATTTTTATTAGAGAAATCTATATGTATACATCTATGAGAAACTATTGTGCAAACTTGAACTGCATAACAGAGAAGCCATATACCTATTAAATTAATTCAAAACCAAATGCAAAGTAAAAGGAAAAGATTATAATAAAATTGAAAATTGAAAGGGTGAAGAATGGTCCATGTTTGGCATGGGCTCTGCCCGAGACAAACTAACATTGAATTTGGAGACGTGACTCCTGACATAAACACATTTTCTGGCCCAATCTTGACGTTGATTGTTTTATGGATCTTATTCCAATCGAGGCGTAGGCCAAACAAAAATCTATATAAAGGATTAATTAATTTTTATCAAACGCTAGAAAATATTTCAAGGCTACACGTTTTTATTTTTTTTTAATTTGAAGTTATGCAATGAAAATTAATTTTTTTTGCATCTCTTAACTCACCTACCCACTTACCGTAGAACTCAAATTGAAAAACTCTTGTATACATTGGAAGAAGATTTCCAAACAACTATTCTTATTTTTTTCTTCTTTTCTTTTTTGTTGGTGCAAAGGGGAAATTCATAAATTAAACATAAAGATACAAAGGCATACCCAAGCAAGTTGGGTTAGGTTGCAATATGGTTTCCATTAAGGAGAAAATGAGCATCGAGAGTGGAGTTCCCACTCAAATCATCAAAGCTAGGATCATCACCTATTCTAGCCAACGACTTGCTGTCATGTTTTTTTTTCTTAGGAAGAGTGCTTTGAGGTGATAACTTACACCTCGACGTGCTTTGGCCAAGACATGGCAAAAACGGATCCTTGAATTGCCTCAAAAACTAGAGGTTTTCTCCCTATCGATGTCTTGAAGTGGTAAATTAGATAGTCTCTTGATGGGTTCTTCGATCAATTTATCTATAGTAGATTGTTGCATTGGTTGATCATATTCATGTTCCTACTCAGCTGAAGGCTCAACATTGTCAAGTTTCTTTCCCCTCCTTTGAGAAACATGTTGCCACTGATGGGCTTCATTGGTGGATTGTGTCAAATTTTTATCAGGAGAAGGATTCCGTTGCAATGATAAGCTAGTTGCGCTTGCCAATGAGCCATTAGGTTGATGATGGGCAACAACCATTTCAATCCTTTCAAGCTCTTTAGACTGGAAAGAAGTTTGGGATGAAACATGTGGCTGGTCATTTCTAGCTGAAGGGAGTCGAGAAGCCAAGATTGATTTAGGAGAAAGGGTTATGGCAGGGGGTGTAGGAGGGTTAAGTGAAAGGACAATAGGGGTTGATTTAGGTGGAAAGGGTAATTTAGGTGTGGATATAGACTCATTTGTAGAGTTCCTGAAATGCTCAGGTAAAGATGTAGTATCACCTTCATTAGAGCTGTTAGATTTCCTAAAAGGTGAAATGGGTTATAGTCTAGGGAAAAAACTTCAAAATGCCTTTAGCATTTTTTGTTGCCAAAGTAGACCTAGGCGAGCTCTGTAAGGCAAGGGGTTGAAGCACAAAAATGGGTAGAAGGGAGGGTGAGGGAAGAGGAAGGAGCGGAGGGCGGGTGATAGGTTTCACAAAAGAAGGAATTTTAGAAAGAAGGGGAGGAAAAGATGAAAGGGACCTAAAGGAAAAGGTGGGTTGGTCAACATGTAGGGATTGGGAGGAGATTGATTGACATGGTAGGTCTCCAAGAGACTTGTCACGAGAAATTTAAGAATTCAAATTTTGAACTTTTGAACTATTGGGCTTTCCCGCTTGAGGATGCGTCAGAGCTAATCCTTGTCGATGCGACGGAGCTAATTCTTGTGGATGCGACAAAGTTGGGGTACGAGGGGGCTTCTTGCGACCATGTTTTCTAGAAACAAGAGACCAATCACCATATTGCCTGGGGGGACGGGGCGGAGTAGCATCTGATGGTAATTTGAGGAAGTCAAGGCAAGCTTGCATTTTGTGGCCAATCTTACCACAATGAAAACACAAGGAATTGATTCCCTCATAGGAAATAATCTGTTTGTAGTCATCAATAATAATGGCAGGAAGAACAGGTTTTCAAAGATCAATTTGAACACAATAACGGGCAAAACACCCTCTAGTTCCTAACATGGTATTTTCATCAATGCGAATGAGAGGACCAATGCTTTCTCCAATCCTCCTTAGCCAAGGTTGAGTAAAGAACTCAATCGGAAGTTGCGGAAGACGTAGCTAGATGGTTGTTGTAGTATGATCAGTGTTAGCGGGTCAGAAGTTAGGTTCCCATTTCCAAATAAAGAGGAAGCGTTGCCCAACAAGCCAAGGCCCACCTCTAAAAATGCGGGAGTAATCATCCTCATTGGACAATTTGACAATGATGAAGCCTTTGTCAAGCTCAATTGTATCAAAGCTATGAACTAGCTTCCAAAGCTTGCGTAGTGAATTTACTACAAAATGGTACTCCATTGGCTTACCAAAAGGCTTGACGATGAGGCTTAACTTCTAAGGGCTATAGAGTTCCGACCGTTTTTCAAGAGACAGAGTGATAGTTATAGGAGATGAAGCGGTGGGGGGGATGATAGAGGTGGGAGCACGGGAAGCTGGTGTGTGAAAAGTGGAAACCAAAGGAAAGGATTGAGAAATGACGTTGGATGAAGAACCCACCAAGGCATACTTGAAACTTGTTGGAGGGGTAGGATACACAGAGGGGTGTTCATTGCGATGGTGAGCAAGGTTGGTCAATGAGATGTTGGTGGTGGAGCATGGGATGAAGGGGTTGGGTGGAGACTGGTTAGAATATGGCTGAATGGGGGAGGGAGATCGGGTGTGGAGGAGAATGACTAGTGAAGTAAAGGGGTTAATTTCCAATGGCGTCGGTGATGGGTCAGGTGGTCGTGGAGGTTTGGGAGGAGGGTTCATGGTTCCACACTCGTGTCATGTAAAGTTTAATGTCCATATGGGAAATATTTGACCACCTAAAAAAAAAAAATCAACTCTACTTTTACCTTTTTTAGTAGAGATGCAAAAACACCTCAGACAATAAATGAGTTGAGTCAAGTTTATTAAAAGTCAAACTTGAGCTTCACACTATAATAATGAGCTGAGTTGAATTCAAGTTTTATCAAGTTCAAATAAATCAAACTTGAATTTAACTCGCAAGCTCAACTCACGAGTTTGAATTTGATTGGAAAATTTGAACTCAACTTGATGAGCTAACTTGACTAATCAAATTTAATTTAAGATTTAAATTAAAATAAAAACTAAAATTTTAAATATTTAATGTATAATTATTTTTAATATGGTTGAGGTGAGTCAATTCAAATTTAAATTGCAACTTCAGCTCAAATCTAGTTAAGTTAAACTTGAGTTTGAGTTTTAGCTCAACTCAATTACAACCCTAAAAAAAATCTCATTTCTCTCTTAAAACCTAACTCTAAAAGTGTAAAACAATTTGTTTTAAGCATATAACAATAAAGCAATCTAATAGTTACATGGATATTATACCCAAATTTGATTTTTGATCAAATAGTGAAGCCACAAGTTAGTACAATCTACCCTGGCTAAAAGATAAAAAGGTAATTGTTGAGATAATTCATTATTAAAAGTATTCCAAAACAGCACAGTGCACACTGATTATCTCTCTTGCCCTAAAACTTTAGTAAGAAAGATATAAGAGTAGACACAACAAAATTATTCTACTATTGGATCATGTCGTAAGCTAAGATTTAACTAGGTTCACGTGTCGTCACCCACACCAAATCAAAATTCACTAGCTAGAATTGTGGCAAAATTATAAAGTTTTGTGTCTTATTAAAATAAAATAAATTAAGACATGATCAATTAAAATAATGACAAAAGTTTTATTTAAATTAAATATAATTGGAACGCATGATAGAATTGAACGATATGATTAAAATATGCTAGAATATTCCTTAAAAAGTGCCTTCTTCATTGCCTAAAAATAGAGGCATTCACCATGAAGAAATAACCTATTTTGGAGAGAAGCCCAAGCACCTTGTTGTAATTACACCTTAAATCTTGTGGAAGAGTTCAAACCTTCGAGTTCTTCTCAAAATTTTTTCTTCATGAGATCAAGTTTCATTCAAGCCCTCATCTAGAACTACATCAACTAGAAGATTGAATTAGTAGATTACTTTAAATTTTTTGTTCACTCAGAGGTTCTCACAAATCTTAAATTAATACAAATATTCTTTTCGTATCATTTTTCTTATTTGTCTGATTTTTAGGAACCAAATTATTATCCACAAATTTCCTCACACATTTAATGGCACATCTTTGCCTTTTATCTGTTACAAAGAAAGTTGTAAATCTAGACATCCTGTTTGCAAAGAATGCTTTAATCACATACAATCTTAAATCTACCAAAAAAGGCATCACTATCACCAACAATAACAACACCTATTTAGGTTACAACACTCGTAGTAAGGCTAAGGTTACTAGCTCATCTTTGTTTCAGTCAATTACATCATACACACTAGCTATGGGAAAGAAGGAAGTTGCTATGAATCGTGTTACCTACTCCTTTCTATGCTTGAAGATTTTATGAACAAGAGTGGTTCTGCTCATGCTATCTTTGATTCTAGGTCAAGTACTAGTTCTCAATATGGATCCACCCTAAATTCTCCAAAGGGATCATACTTCCCAAGTTTGTTAGGGACTATTTTCATGCCAATATTCTTGATAGGATGACATTATTGAGGAAAAGATTACTAATATAGTTCAAGCCATTGACAAACTAACTCAAACTCTTGAGGTGAAAAACCTACTCATCACCGACCTTACTAGGAAGCTTGAAGCTTTTAACGTGGTAAATCAAGCAACAATCAATTATAACATCCTCACAACATTTTTCAAATGAATAGTTCTTAGTCATTATTGCTACCCAAGCAACACCACAGAATGCAATGGTAATGCCTATTAATGTGTTATTAGTGCAACAATTCTATGATATGGGTAATGATATCATTCGAGGTCAATAAGGGGGCCCTTTAAAGTATTTACTAAAGTACTCCAAGTCATATACCAAACGAATTAACAATTTGGTCATGCCTGCAAGTTATCAATCACTTAAATTTAAGTAGTTTAACAATAAGGATAATCTTAGACAGCACATCGTTCACTTTGTTGAGACTTGCAACAATGCATGATTGCATCGTTTAAGCTTGAAGGAAATAGAGAACAAGATTTACCCATTCCCAAACTCTAATGTTGTAAAAATGTTAGATGACCTATTAAAAAAGAAAGTGATTGAATTACTTGAATGCAAATGTCCAAAGGAAATAAAGTGTACCAATGATCTTCAATACTATAAATATTATTCTATTATCAGCCATCCGATAGAGAACTGTTTCATGCTAAAAGATTTAATCTTGAGACTTGTTGAGGAATGGAATATTGAGCTTGACCTTGGGAAGTTCATTAACTCAAGCCTTATAACTATAGTAACTTAATCTCTGTTGCCATTGGTGAAGCAATATCAATCGATAATTCACACTTTTTATAGGTCATCTTTAGGAGCCACATAGTTTGGATCACTTGATCCAATGCTTCTATCAACTGTCATACCAAAGTTAAGCAATACCATAAGTGAAGAAAGCACCCAAAAGAAATTGATGATGAAGGGAGGGTAATAGTGACTCATAAAAGAAAAGGAAGTGATGCCAGTAAAAACCTTGTGTTGTTCAAACTAAAAAAGTGGTTTAAAGCAAAGAACCAAAGGTAAGCATGAAATTAAAATTCATTCTACAGTTCCTAATAGAGAAAGGATATAACAACAATTACTTTGACAAATTTCTTTCCACAAAGACATCTTGGTGAAGAGCTAATTGCCTTAACTCATACTGTTTCTAAGGAAAAAAACACCTAACCATAATGAGCTTAACAACGGTGAGATGCACCAAATAAAGGAAGACTATCTTAAAGAAAATTCTATAGAGGCTTTAGGAGATTTTTCTTAACTCAGCATCCAACAAGTAACTAAACTTGGTAAGGTGATGTGAGATGCTTTAGTAGTTCTTAATGAGCTTGGAATGTATGTTATTAAGGAAAAAGGAAGTTGACACATTTAAAGCTAGATCCTTTAAGTGTGCCACATGTTGTGTAATTATCATATTCTGTAATGAAAATTTACAATTAAGCTCAAAGCCACATAATAGATCTCTTTTCGTCTCTAGTTACATAGAAGAGCAAAAAGTGAATCATATCTTAGTGAATGACAAGTTTGCAATCACCATCTTACCAAAAACAATCATGAAGAAATTATGCATCTTTATGGAAAGATTACAAAATAGTCAGTTGGCCATTTAAGGTATTAACCAAGGCAGTCAGAAAACCATCGAAATGATCCATCTAGAGCTAACGATGGATGAGATGATGTCAAGTGTGTTATTCTATGTCATGAATGCCAAAACTTCATATAATATGTTGCTAGGATGTCTTAGGATTCATGCCAACTATGTGGTGCCATTTACTTTACACCAATGTTTTAAATACTATTGGAACAAGATGAAGAAGGTCGAGGCAAATACTAAACCCTTCATGAAAGCAGATTCTTACTTTGCTCATGTAAAACTTTACTCCAAGCCAAAAACAATAGCAAAAATCCTCCCAACAGAAATTTCCTTTACCAAAATGATGACATCTATTAAAGGTAAGTAAATTGATCTTCGCAGTGAACAAGCTTTGAATCCAAAAGTGGTCAGTGTTGAAAAGAGAAGTGAGGTCTCTAACTTAGAGAGTAAGCTTGCAATTCTAAAATACATTCCAAAATCCAAAAGAAAGGAAGGTCAATCATCGTTTGAACTTGTTTTAGAATTCAAAAATAAAGAGATGAAATCCCACCATTGTCTAAAAGACAGAGATTTTTCGATACTTAAAGCAAATACTATAATGTGTCTACCAAAGCTTACCTAGCCCATATCTCCTAAGATTATTTCAAAGGGGGTTGTTACACCAAGGCAAAATTCAAATAGAAAATTTATAAAAAGTACCTTCAAGGGTTTCAATGTAAAGGCATTTGATTTGTTGGCAAAGGCTGGATATGACCATTGGAAGCCATCCCCGTAAGGCAATTTGAGCCTAGATTTCACAGGTGAAGTTGAGCATGGTCTCAACTAAACATAAATGAAGTTGAAGAAGCAAGGGTATATGGTTAAATTCACCAAAGATAGCCTTAGCTATAAAGATAACACTCTAGTGCGCATTTTTGTTAAAAGAAAAGTAGAAAGTGCCCAACATATCTCAATAGAAATTAAGGACAGTGAGGAATCTAAGGATAAAAAATCTCTACCTCAACCATTAGTGTCTAGTCGCTTAGGCACCTTTACTAAAACAAATAGGCAAGAAGCTACATCTTCGTAGTTGGTGTTTAATCGCTTGAGTACCTCCATCAAAGCAAGTAAAAATGAATCCAAATCCTATCAATTAGTACTTAATTATTTAAGTGCCTTTACTAAGATGGTATTAGTGAAGAAGAGATTAAGTGTTGCTCAAGAATCCTTTTTCAAATGGTTAGTCTTTGATCATTTGGATATTAGTAATGCCTTGATATGTGGAACCTCAAAACTAGGGGGGACATATGAAGGAAAAATGAAGCCAAAAGGTGACAAAGAAATTCATAGCCTCATGCTTTTAAGGATGAAATGACAAGTGACTTGGGTGGTTAGGATTGGAGAATCACTTAAAGCTAAAAAGCATACAATTGTGTATACCAAAGTAGGCATGAAGGATAGGAAAGCATCATTTGAGGATGAAGAAATTGTGTTATCATTACAACATATTTCAACATAAATAGTTGAAGATATAGAAAACTCTGATAGAAATCTAGAGCCTAGTCAATCCCTACATGAACTTGAAGTGGATGTCAAGCTACTATAGATAAACTAAAAGAATTGAACTTTGGCACATCTAAACACTCATGACCAATTTTTGTTAGTGCATTCCTACGTCTTGAACAAAAGAAAAAAAATTCTCATCTTTTATTAGAATATAAA